ATTCAATCGATTGAATTCACACGATCACAGTATGACTACAATCCAAAGAACGCACATACTAGTTCTTGATCACGGGTGATTTTCGCAATATCGCTTAGCCATTCTCGTGACCCGTTACTATCTCTCCACAGCTGAAGCGTGTGATCACATTAACTAACCTATTCGCCATGAACGCCCCCCTCTCCTAGATCAACCAAGCCCTAGCCTTCGGGAACGGTAAATTGGTACCAGATTTGTACGAGAATGAGAACGTAAATTGGCTTGCGCCCCTGCATGGCAAGCCATCGCAGCGCGAACAGGTTGCTCCAGCTCAGGCCCACTAGAGTCCGACACATTCTAATTGTCCCCGATCTTTGGATTTTGGACAAGGGGAGTCAGCCTCAGCAACACCATGGCTTACGGCTTTTGGTACTTTTCTGGGAGGAACAATAGCAACACCTAACTGTTATATAATTTCTACAAAAAAATCCGCCCTATTTCACACCAGCTATGTCGCTGCTGTTTAGACTGCTTTTCGGGTCTTGAGCTGGTTTGCCCAGTTCAAGACCCAACAAGCAGCGTTCATCGTCGCTAAGCAAATCGTATCAGGGGGCTGCACTGTTCCTAGAAGGGGGAGGAGTTGCACTTTCTCCCAGTATTACTCGCGCAACTGTGAACGGGTGGGGGAGGGAGGAGCAGACAGGGCGCAGTGACACCGTCATTTCGCACATCGCAAAGATGCTTTCTGAGAGATTACAAAAGAAAAATTGAAGAATCCCAGTACATTCCGCGCTTTGCCCCTCAATCTATATGAGGATATTAGATGGCGTTGAAAAGTCTGACTAAAACGCATCTTCCTTGCATCCATCCTTTGCTCCCCTTGTGAATTATCTGATTAATAACCCTCTTGAAAGTTATCAGAAAAATGTGTTCTGGGCAAAACGCTGAACCCTAACCAACTTTGAACTGGGCCTTCACGCTCACCCAGCCGATGCGCTAAACATTCCCTTGAGCTGAGTTGTGGGCAAAAGTCGTGCCCCAGGCGGGAGTCGAACCCGCACCTCACGCTTTCCGGGCGAGTGCGCTATCCGTTACGCCACCAGGGCCGCTTTTACCCTCTCAGCTTAACGGCTTATGCCGTAACCTTACAGCACTCACACGTTTAACTTGGTGTCGTAGAATGTGATGGAAATGGGGACTTCAGCTTCTCACCAAGTTAAACGTGTGAGTGCTGTAAGGTTACGGCATAAGCCGTTAAGCTGAGAGGGTAAAAGCGGCCCTGGTGGCGTAACGGATAGCGCACTCGCCCGGAAAGCGTGAGG